TTGTTTATATTTGCATTTTCTATACACGATGAAATTTTCAAAATGTTATGATTTGTTTTGAACTGTTTAGGAATATTTTTATTTTTCATTTTTTTTTTGTTTTTTTTTTCTAAAAATATCAATAAAATTTTATTTGTTGTTAAAAATGCTTGAAAATTTAATAGAAGGCTCCTAGTATGTTGTTTCAAAGGCAGATGAATTAAGGCAATATTAAAAATCCTTAGTCACAGTTTTTTTTTTATAAGCATTTAAAGTTCGAAAATTGACAAAATATGGAAAAATCACGAAAATCAGCAAATTATTTTGAGTTAAGAATTCGTAAAAATGTTTCTTTTTAAATCTTAGGTTTTTAAATGTAATACAAGATTTCTTATAAGATTATCTATCTTTATCAAAAAAAAAATGTCTATAAGAAAGTCAAATAAAATTTTTACAACATTGGATATTCACTCTCATATAGCGATTTCCTTATTTTGTTGTAATTCAAAAACGAATAACTGTAGATACATGAAAATTTCACTGAATGTTTATATTTAGCATTTCCTATACACCATACAATTTTGACTCTCTTTTTGACTCTCCGCCGTTGACGGACATTTTAATATTTCAATTTTTTTTTTTCTGTAAATATCATTAGTTTTATTTGTTGGGCCAAAAAGTGTAAAAATGTAATACAAGGCTCCTGATGTATTGTTACAATATCAGTTGAAAAATATTTAAAATACATAGGCACAATTTTTTTTATAAGCATTTAAAGATCGAATTTTGACAAAATTTATCAAATTTAAAATTAAATAATTATTTTGTAGTTAAAAATTTATAAAATGTTCAACTTTTATATCTAAGGATTGAAAATTTAAAACAAGATTCCACGTAAGTAGTTAATTCTGTTACCAAAAAATCTAAAAAATACATAAACACAGTTTATTTTTATAGTCATTTTTGGACGAAATTACATAAAAAAAAACGTAGAATAACTATTTTAGTTATGTTTGTTGTGATTGTATAATATTATTCGTGGGTATTTGAAAGTTATTAAGTACACTATTATATATCTATAATAGTATCAGGGTTTGTAGTTGATGTATAACGCGTTATAAGTACCTAATGGATATTGTGATATGATTAATTTGGAAGTTATTATAGGTACCTATTATAGGTCAATTTTTTTTAATACCATAGATAAGTACCTATATAATATGTCTTATACGACCTATACTGACATACCGTCTCCGCTCAGAATCGTTTTTCTTATACAATGATATTATATCATTGAATTCAAATTTAATACCATCCATTTTACAGTGACCCACTTGTAACCTACTGTACAGCAAAGCACCTTTTTTGTTTGTTTTTCCTGACGCTTTTGAAAATGATTGGGTATTTTTTACCAACCAGATTTACTTTCGTAACAGAAAAGATGTTGTTGAAGAAAATCGAACAATTCTTACTGTTTCAATAGGTGACAAAGGACACTAAAAAAAAAAATTGCATCATTGTAAAATCAATAGATTCATAGCTAGATACACTCAGACTATAAAAAATATTTAAAAATGTTTAAATTATTTATTTATCCAATAATATAATAATATAATTGTATTATATAGGTAACTATTATTATTATTAAAATAAATACATAATATTTTTTTTTGTATAAAAATGTATCGATTTAACATATTTTTAATTTCTTTAAGAGTAAAAAATCAGAAAGTGAAAACTATTAAATATATATACAACTTATTTGCTACATATTATTATTCCTATATTCATTACTTAACATCTCATTTTGTAAAATATCAATACTGATAAACTCAATTATTTAATAATTATTAAATAATCCTGAATTAAATCAGGAATCATGATATAATAAGGTAAAATATATAGTATGTTTATATGGATTAATATGCGTAGAAATTGAATCATATATATTTTACTTCTCCTACAAAATGTAGTTCACATTGTATACATTAGTGTACAATGTTAGTTTATGATGAAATATATAATATATAATTTTATATATATATAACAGTTTATAATACATTTGAACTATAATAAATAATGAATACAAAACAATTAGTATGTATTTAAGTAATTTAAATTACTCAAACTATTAATGTCATTAGATAAAATTTGTAATTAGAAAAAAAAAATGTAATTGTAACAAAAAAAACTTAAAACTTAATTAATAATGTATTTATTATATGGACAACAATATTGTAAAATAATTTCATAAAATATTCAATCAACAAAATTATTGCACGCTCAAATCACTCTGAAAACAGATCACAAAACTTCTAATTTTAAAATTGCTCATACATGGACGGTATACGTTTGGTTAAATATAAAATTATACTTAGATAATAAAATATAAATACATAGGTACTAAATGTTCATTTTTATCAAAAATATCCCATTAATAAATTAGTCAGAGTATAAAAAGTTAGAATAATAATAAATATGCCACTATATGTATTACTGGCTACTATAATATTCGTTAAATATTTGAGTGTTCCAATATAATATGCACCTGAATTTAATAAATTATTCTAATCCTTTATAAGACTTACTAACTTTGACTAAACTGATTCATAATTACAAAACTAAACTGTTATTTAAACAAACTCTTGATGTAAACATACATTTTTTTGAATTTTCGTATAATATATTGCTTGTCTTGTCTAACATAATTAACTAAAGTGTTGGTAATTTTATTTATAAAATACCTAAGTAGGTATTTATCTAATTTTCAAAATTTGTTCATTTAATAAATTCGAAACAATTCTTATACCGTACATCTATTACCTATGTAAAGTTATAAACGACCAAACAACTTAATCTAAAGTAATACTAAAGCAACTGCGATAAAAAAAAAAAAAAAGATCTATGAGCATTTTCATAACAACTGGAAAACTGTTTTAATATTGTGTTTAGACATGCAAGTGCACTCGAATGATTTTGAATTGAATTATACATTTTCACATTAATTAGGTACGTCTTAATATATGTGTAATGTGCATGCAGTTTATCTATTTTAATACACTATTATAGTGCCTTTGATAAAAAAAAAAAAATACATTAGTAGGTATATTACCTATATTATATTATATACATATTACCCTGTACTATATATAACTACAAAAATATAATAGCTGCCATCTCATATTACTATATTAAATACCACATTATTGAAAATATATTAATAGAACTTAGCAAATATGACACAAATTTGCTTTGAATATGGTTAAACAATTTAAAAATAAATATATACTTAAAAAATATTTTCATAAAATTTGTGCACAACATACTTATACCTAATTTACAATTTTAAATTGTAATTAAATATCACGTGAACAATACAATTATTTATAAAATTGTTAGTTACCTAGGTTTTTATAAAACATAACAGTGGTCAGTTTTATTTTGAACAAATTTTGGTGTCAAGGTAACATCTTTATTATTTATTTACTATAGTTTGTTTTGTTTATTTGTTTATTTGATTGTACACAAAGTTTACAAAAAAATATATACTTCACTATAAGAGATCAATGTATTTTTATTTAAATTATGATGAATTATAATTAATGTACTATTTGAATTTAATTACCTATAGAATCACGGCATGAACTAGATAACATAAAACCATTACTGGGATCCCCATATAGCATATTATTTTGAATTTATATAGTCAATATGAGAAATGTTGAATAATATAGGTAATGTATATTATTTTGTTATTATTATTATTGTTACTATTATACAATATTTATACATAGATTATAACGTAATACGTATTATATTATTAATTATTACATTATTATGTGCAATTTGTTTTTGTGTATACATTCACGAAATAAACAAATCCCAATTTTTTAGTAGATACAAACAAGTATTTTTATTTAACAAGTTCTCCTGATGGCACACTAAATATAATGAATTTAACGATTACCTATATTAGAATATAATTAACGAAAAATATCCTAAGAAATTATATTTAAAATTATAGACTATACGCATTATACGGTAAACTCGAGTTCTTAATCAAACAAATTACAAAATAGACCTAATGTATCATTTTTATTTAATTTTGTTTTAAAATAACTATATTAAAAATGAAAATAAACACGTAAAATATTAGAACCCTCGTTGCTGATAACAGATTTTTTGCGATACGGGTCATGCGAATATTGTGGAAATTAAAACGGAGAACAAAATATTTGTCAACAAGAACAACCGTCAATACGTATAGCAAAATTTAAGCTGATTAATTCTATAGCTGATGTTTTGGGAGGATGAGTGAAAAAAAAAATGTTACAAAATAGAGTTTGGTATTATATTTAATATTAAAATTTAATATGTAATATTTATTGTTATATACTACTGTACAAGTTCATTGGACCAAAATTGGCACAATCCCATATATAATAATATATATTATATGCGTAAAAATAATTAAAAATTTTGATTAAATAACAATTACATACGACCAACGAAAAGAAAAAAAAAAATAATAATAATAATAATAATGGATGATAAAACGGGAAACGGGTGCTCGTAAACTATGACGTATCTAACTAAAATAATAATAATAGTGTGTGCGCGCACGTTATCGTCAGCTAGACCCTTTTTACGGTATAATATAATATTTTCCCTGCATAAACAATATTGATAGGCACGTGTCACTGTAATTAAACTGTTAACGATGTTGTCTCGTTGTTATGATATTATTGTGAATAGTACGTATTGTACCTACGTGCCTACAATTAAATCACGAGACGTGTACAACACTGTCTATACCATAATTATAATATAGGGATTGGTATGATGCAAGTACTCGAAAGCCTAAACCAACCAGCTGTATGAACTATGAAAATATGATTTCGCGAATCGTTGAATACGAATTGTACAACGAAATTGCCTGGCAGAATATTTTTTTCCCTCCGTTTGTAGTCTATGTTATAATATTATTTCGTCAAGTCGATGCGCGTCCCTTCATCCCGGCCTTACACGGCCGTGCTCTGGGTCTGTATTCGAACTTTTTTCACGCTCCCGTTCCGAGACAGAGTGGGCGAGGTGCCGCTGAATCCGGGATTCTGGATACCCAGCCCGCCAGCGCCTCCTCCAGCCCCGTTTCCATTGGCCGACCGTGGTTTCTTCAGACTGGATCGCAACGGGCTACGGACCGGTATTATCGTCGACCCATTTGAGCTGATCGTGGGCGTCATCGACATTGTACTGCCGTTGGTCGTGGCACCCGCGTACGGCTTTCCGCTGGCGTCCGTCACCGATATTCTACCACTGCCACCGACTCCAGCTCCGTCTCCAGCTCCGCTTCCTCCTCCTGAAAATATAAAATCCACTAGATATAACACCTTATTTTACAACATTTTGGATTATGTACTACCAACATTGAACAACTCGATACTTAAAAACTCATCATCTAGTGCAATAAATTGTCGTATTTTTTTTTTTAAACGATTTACACGGTTTAAATAGTATAGGTACGGAAATGACGTGTTTGACACAGTAATATTTTTTTTTGGAAAGGTGATACTTTCAGTTCCTTTTTTAATTTTGCTTAATGACTGCACGTCTACACCCTATATTTTGAATGTCATAGTCTGAACAATAATTGTCAGAGAACGTAAAGGTTCATATTATTATATGAAATATTGAAGCATTTTTTTATTTATGGCTTGATAAGCATTAAAAACTTAGGTGGCAAGGGGTAACAACTAACGAACAAATTGGCAATTTACTGGTGCAGAACTTCTCAGAATATTAATTTAAAATTAGGTGGGTATGCATGTTCTAGTCAACAAAATTTGATAGTTATTTTGAATAAAATTATAAAATCAAGATTTAGTTTTTTAGTTAGTAGGTATACCTAAAAGATTTTAGGAACTTTGAAAGATATTTTTTTTTTCAAACAACAATTGACTAAGATAATGAGTGTTCACTATAAAATAATTATTCCCTTATTTAGGTCTCAGGTCTCAGATCAATACAACTAGATTAGAGAATATAAGTTAACCGTTTTCAGTCACGTATACTCGTATTGAAATCATTTCGACAATCGTCACGAATGTTGATATCTTTAATTTTTATAATAGGTATTTTTAGTCTAAAAACCAAATTTTAAAGACAAATGTAGGTAGTATGAACAAAAACCGTTATTATAGTAGGAAGGTACAGTTATTTTAAATTGAGTGCATTATACAAAATACTATATTATTATATACATGGAGGCATAGTACTACAAACAGTAAATAAAATATGTAGCAAGCTATTCGAAACATTTTTTAAAATCCATAATTATTTTTCATTCTAATACTTGCCCAAATTTGAAATAGCTTGCCGTACGAAAAAAATATACCGAACAATTGAGTTGTGTATTGCAATAGCCAATAGGTGATCCCTAAATGAACATTTTTGATACAATGTACCTACCAACCTACGTATCATTTTGACATTATTCTAACGATGTTCTGCAACACGTGTATAGTCGTTAAAAAAATATCCTACAATATTAAACACATTTTATAAAATATATTTCAACAGTTGTAGAAAAAAAATAAAATAAAACGGTAACATTTGTGTCTTTTATTCGCTTTGTGAATAGATCGAAATAAAAACACGAGTATAAGAGCAGTTATGTAGTCATTTCACGGTTATAACTACATTTTAATATTTATGGTTGAAACATTTAGAAATAAAAATATCATTAGTCAAAATATGTTTTATGATGTGTTTATATATTATTACTCACTTGGATTCTTTGACTTCTTCTCCTTAAAGGCAGGATTATTGAATGTGGTAGCTTCTACACCAGATGGATCACGGCGACTGACGGTCGGGTCACCGCCCAAGCGACGGGAAAATATCAAATCATATATTGCAGCCACGAATAGCAAAAAGTTCAATACAATTAAGCCAATCTGTTGAGTAAAAATATTGTTCATTATTTCATTAGGGATTTTTAATGATATACGATAGTATAATACATTATACTGTTGTACCTATAACATCAGATTTTCAACAAAGAGTAATGTTGAAAATCCATCTGTTTTCATTAGAAAAAAAAAATGAATTTACAGTATTCTAGAGTTGTATACAATTATACATATTTAATAGCATACTCTATAATGCATTAAATTATACGTGTATATTATACTTCATATTATATTGGTTTGTTATTGACGTTTAATGAAAGATAAAAGATCCAGAGTATAAAAATGAAATTTGAATAATTCATCAGCACAGGATACAAGAATACAATTTGGCTCAGTGTATATAGGTAATATTTCATTATGTAGTACTATATGGTAGGTAGGTACTTAGGTAAGAGTGTATAGCCAAATATTACGCTTGAAAAGAAACCGTGTCCTATATTTTAGAACAGAACGAATAGAACATATTATGTCCGTGGAAAACTTTTTTAGAAGAACAATGAACAATAAAATTATAAATTATTTTATGCATTTTGATTTTGAGTTTACATTATAGAAACATTTTAATTAGTTCTAACACTTCAGTGCTCAGTGGAAATAAGGACAATTGTTCTGATATCATTAAATAAATTGTAGGTAAGTGCTATTATGTTGCCTACTCAAAAAAATAGATTTATTTTCAAATTGTAAATTAAAATTAAAATTTTTAAATATTGAAATAATAGTTGATTGTATGCCTACTATGAAAGAGAGGATAAAAAAATAGGTTTTCTTTAAACTAATTTTTAGAAACTGAACCAATTTTCTTTGGTTAGCGGCGTGTTCTCTCACTGGACAGAGTATCCAATGTACTAGAAGGTACAACAATGCGAGAGACTGCAGTTTGGCGGAAAGTTTGGTTGCTTCAAAGCGTGATGATGCCATACTGACACATATTGTAAAATCAATACATTTCATAGCTCTGCTCAAAATTTAAAACAAAATTTAAATAGACCGAAATCAAATATACTTATTAGTATTTGAATATCATTATTCTAATATTGTTCGTTTCGTTTTGTCAAGGACTTTGTTAAAAAATATTATACAATTGATGATTTGAAAGCGCATATACAAAAGTAAAAATACAAATATTTTCATTCATTTACAGATATTATAGGTGTATGTATAGGATAGATATCCTCCCGAATTTAAATTTGTCCCCATAATTTATTCAACTCACTATTATTATAATGTCACTATTAAATTACTGGATATATTTATTATTTTAATTGTTTGTAAATACGATTTAATCATTTAAAAGTGTACTTTTTGTATTAAAAAAAAGTTAAAAATATACATAAAACAATTACGTGCAAATCTATATAGGTACATTAACAAATTAAAAATATTTTAAGGGCATCGGCTAGAATTACGATTAGTTAAAAAAAACTTATTTCATAGATAGGTATAATTTATTATATTGTGAGACATTATAGTCAGTGCGTGCCTATGAAAGCAATTTATTTTTAATGTTTTTAACTAACCTGGGATTTTTATTTAATAATATGTAAACGAGTACATGTAGGTAACCTATACAGCTATTTATAATATCACAGTATAATTACATATTATCATAGCAGGATCATGTTCTGAATTACGTAGTACGTTATTAAAATACATAATAGGTATCTCATAAAATATACACTTTTGCGCATTGCGTTGTGGAGTTTTTTTCTTTTGAATTATGGATCTCAGTTCTCACTAATTAATGAAGAGCACACGCAAAACAGTTAATTTTAATACTTTGAGCATAGGAAAATGGTTTATCTTATTCACCTGCATATAAAACGATTCCCCTCTGGTCACTTGGTAGCTGTTGTCTTTGTCGTCGGTTTGAAGGGCGAATAACCCGGCTGCCATGATTGCTAGCAGAGCTATATAAACAAAAAGTAAAGTCATCGGGTTAGGCACTTCAACCGTGTACACGCATAATATGTTTGCCATAGTATTATGGTATAAATTATTTTTAAAATAACGTGGGCACATATGGATAATATATTTACTTGCTGCGAATGCAAACACCAATTTGGTAGCCACGGTCTTGCTATAGGCGACCACGACTTTTTCCTTTGACACCACCATGGCCAATTGCACTATGCTCAGGATGCAAAACACGGCCAGGCTCAATGTACCCGCTATGGCAAAATATCCGGCTATCTTCACCATTTCTATCGGAAAACACCAAACGATTATATTATTATAATTTATTAATAGGCGATTTACATACAGAACTCCCACGCGTTACAGCGGAAGAAGTCGAAACACAATGAGAACGTGATTACTTACCCACAGGATGAAACCTGGATATCGAGTCTCCACATTTCGTTCGTCCGTAGTACGATTGTTTGCACATTTGCCATGGTCCAAAATAACCACGATCGATTCCCGAAGTCCCAATTTCGGCTGCAACACATTACGGAACAATGCAATTGTAATAAACATGATAAATATTATACCAAAATAATCATAGAGCAGAATTTTTCGTTCAGCATTCCAATAACAGGTGAAACTTATCCTTACAAATAATAAATACATTTAAATGTATAACATATAATTTAAATGAAAATGAGAAAATAAATTGTGCCTTTGTTACATAAATCATGAATATTAATGTTTTATATACATTTTATAAATGTGCCTATACACGATTTGTGTACGTATTGTACAACAATTAGATGGTATAAGATCCAAAATTTGCAGATAGTGAACATTACGTGTGTGTACAGGTAGATGCTACACAATATTAGACATAACTAGGTACATAAATGCAATAAGATTGGTACATCTGGCATAATCATTTATTTCGAAATGTATTTAAAGTTATTTTAATTTGTTGGACTAAAATGTTCATGAGTGTTATACAGATTATAGTAGGTAATATAATTGAAATAGTGAACGATATAATACTAATCTACCCAGTGGATCAATTTATTTTATTGTTTGATTTGAAAATTTTAAACATGTATAATAAAATTAAAATAAATTGTTTAATTCTGATATCCGATTTAAATTTATAAATCAATTTGTAAAGCCGATACATAAAATATTAAAATTATAATGATTTATCTCACTATTTAATATAGTGTAAGAATATACAAATCATTCACCCGAGAAAATGTAAATTGTAACACGGAAATATTGGGATATAGATTAACCACAAGAAAAACTTCAAATTAGTAATACATAATATAACAGTATTGGTTATACAATTATAGGTATCTACGTCATATTAATACATTATCGCATTAAACAGTTATGAGACAATATATTACAAGCATTCGTATTTTGCATTCTTTTAAAGTAATCAAATAAAATATAAAATTGAACTTAAGTGTTTTAATGATTTTTTATTTGAATACAATTTTGAATACATTTAACTCATTTAAATGAACTAAGGAAATAGGTATAATACCTGATATATTTTTGTAATTTTTTTTTTTTATGTGAAAAATGTTTTATAATATTAACATGCTAGAATGATAAATAATTATTATCTATGATTAAAAAATATTCTTATACATAATCTTCTCAGTCATGTTTTGTTTCAAATGTTTTCAACTAAATTCAAAAAACTTAAATTACATTAGAATATTTGGTGTGTTTTTTTTTTTTTGAATAGGTATTCTTTACAAGTTACGACTATTACACGACTACAGGTTTCTTGTATAATGGGACATTCGTTTATACTGACATTTTAGCACAGTTGCAATGTAATTACAAAAAAATAATTGTGCAATTTAAAATTATACCATTTTATATTTGATTATATTTTAGATTCCTAGGTAACTATAAGGAAGCGTCAAGCGACGAATGTCTCTGGTTAACAGTGATTTATATTTCTGAGACTATTGTTTAGGCTAGAAGGAGTGTATCGAAAGTTTCAAGTAGCCGTATCAATAGGTTTTCGGAAAGTCTAAGTCCTAAGACATCAATATTCGATTTTATGAGTAGTTTCCGTTTCCGAGAGTGTAAGAAATAACAGACGACAACTTTCGAAAATGTTGAAGCATCTTATACCTATAATGTTAAGGTTACTTCATACCCGATGTCCAAATTAATATCCAATTTGACATTCCATTTTAAATTGAATGAGAATGGACTTGTCATAGTAAAATTGCATTAAAGAGTTATTACCTATATAATAACAATATTGACTGGTATTCGCCTCTGTCCGGTTTTAATATGGAATTAACTGAGACAAAATATGTCAAAAATACGGACTCTGAATCCTGTCCAGTTTTTTTTTTTTTAGAAATTAAAATATGTGTCAGTAATTATCCAGTTGAGAGGATCAATTGTTCAAATTACAAAAACAGTATATTACATAAATGCCATTGGTACATGAAGATGGTTGAAAATGATCCTAACTCCCAAGAATAGTTCACTGATTGTAGTCAATACTCAATAGTCTTTTTTATTCATACATCACGTATTGTGTGTTCTATAGATTTTATTTTGTAGGAATTTTTAAATTAAATTATTTAAAATAGAAATAAAAAAAAAAATAACGAAGAATTGTTTATTGTGCTGTTGGCAGTATATTGTGTAAAAATATGTTGAAATACGAAATATGGTGAACAACGTGGAAAGTGATTTTTATATTAAATAATGAGCGTGATCTAGTTTTCGGCAAAAGTTTATTTTACTTATAGTACTTATTCAATTTTACTTAAGTTAAAGGTTTTTAACTTTTAGGTTTTTTATTTTATATTAGTAGCATTCAATATTTCAATGGGAAACATTACATGCAAACATACTTTTTTGTTTCATTGAAATAGCTAACCGTTTGTATTGAAGTCTTGTACTGTTAAAATATAGGTACATCGTACATTACTACGTTAGTAAATGTTTAGTAGTACCTTAGGTTACTTAATAAATTGTATTCTGAGAGGAGTGATGAACGTATTGATTTTACAATGTGTGATTTTATTTTATTTTATTTTAAGACATGTTTTATAGTAGAAAAATGCTTTGATTCTTAACTTTGAGTGTAATTTTTGGTAGTAAATTGAATATATAGTACTTATATGAATTTTCGTGAACCGAAAAAAAATAGGAACATTTGTTAAAATGTCAATATTATCATTAAAATAATTGTTTGGTAATCTTGGTTGGACCGTCTCCGTTCAGAATTGTTTTTCATCGTATAGGTGCAATGATTTATCATTGTTTCACTATGCGTATGGTTACGTGTATAAAATACTTCACATGAAATTTTCATTTTAAAATATTTTAATCTTTAATGAGAAATACCTATACTTTTTTAAATTTGTGTTTTTTTGTATAAAATCATCACTAGATGATCAGACTAATTTCATACCTGATTAGTGATTATCAATATTTAATTTCCAATCACGATGTAGATTTTAGATAAGATACATATAAGAAAGATAATTATTATATAATTTATACAATGTACGGTGTAAGCAATATTTCTATAACATTTCCCACTTAACATTTAACTAAGTATAGATGTTTACTGCACTTCCTACACTATAATTTAAAAGTAAAATTTTATTTTTTATTTTTCATTTTGATGAAATAAGTATTTCAAAAAAATAAATTTCATAAAATTGTGAGTAACCTATAGATTTGACATCTACTATACAGCAAAGCAAGTTACTATAGGTTACCTAGGTACTTGAAGCTTTTTTTTTGTTAAAAATGTAATGATAGCATTGTACTTTTACATTTTAATATTATTAATTTAATACAAAAAATACTGTTCATCCAATTTGTTTTCAATGTTATAAAAATCAATGTAAAATCGCATTATTACGTTAATATAATCACATTCGGCATTAATAGATATTATAGGTATACGGTATACCTCTCCTATAATATCAACGTAATAATATTAAATAATGGATCAATATAGTAGGCAAAAATGCACCTATCGTTTAAGCACAAAATATGTTATCGTAGCTACAACGTTATAATACATCACTAACATTAATATAATAAATTATTAATCACTGCACAACTATTTGTGTTTGTGTTTTTAAATTTATTTATCATAATGTTTGTACAAAATACTTGGATAGTAAAAACAATACGTGTTATCTTTATAATACTTTAATCCATGGCAACTGTAAATACTGTAATCCCTATCCCCTATAGTAGGCAGGTACATGCTGACGAACAATAATAGTTTGTTATACAAACCATCCTTTCAGGTTTGGTGTTGAAAAATCTTTACCTACCTATATCATTTGTGAGACAAATATAATGGGTACCTAAAGTGTATCTGATAAAAGTGTATGTTTGTTTTTAAAATGTAATATATTTCATATTTAGAGGAAAAAGTATAATTTAACTTCTTTTCATATTTCATCTTTTGTGTTACCTAGTTATTATTGTTCATATTGTTAGAATAGTCATGTTTTGTTGTAGAATGTTGTAAGTATGTAAGGTGTAGCTAGAGTATATTGAACCTAAAATGTTAAATGTTTAAACATAATTTTAATTATGTTATAGGTACATGTGAAAAACTACTAATAACAGACAATATTTAGTAAGAGTATAATAATAATAATAATAACAAATTATTCAACTGCTATTAAAACAAATTTAATTATAATAAACATTGGTTATACAATTTAATTAAGTTTTTTATTCTGGTTTCTACATTATTGAGTATTTTAGGTTGGATTTAAATTCAGAACAGTTAGCTTAAAGTACTTTAATTGTCTTGAATTTTCATTCTTGTTCAGCGATATTCATTTTCAATAATTTTCAAAATATGCGAAATAATGTAATTTTGTTTTTAAATTTTGATTTGTTAAGTTTTATTGTCTGATATCTAATTGAATAGAAATATATTATACAATTTAGGTAATAAGCCAAGTTTAAGAATTAATTACAATTTGTGCATTCGATTCTTGTTATATTTTACTATTTGTTTTATATTATTTAAAAAAATGATGACAAATATTTTTATACTTATAATTCATTGCACATTTACGGAATATCAATAAAAATAGCAATATAATATATTATTTATCCCTACTTGTTATTATATAGTAGTACATAAAAATTAAAAAGACAATTTAAGATATATTTGTAACGTTTCAGGACATATGCGGTCATCCCTTTTACGTGTTAGTTGCGGTCAACTTATTTACCAGAGTATCAAATTTTTATTTTTTTATATTATTATGTCTTAATATATATTTAGATATATTTAAGCTTTCCTTTATACTTGTCCAGACTTAGGACTAACAGTATTTTTTCCCGACATGTTTTTAGCTTATTATTATTTAATAATGAGCTAATAATTATAGTAATATTATTATTATATTTTTTAACAAATATTAATACATTAGTATCTATCTTTTTTTATTTCTGTGTGAGGATCTACTCACATTTCATTAGCATATTTAACTATTTATGTAGGTGCTGAC